AACAGTGTGCTCAGGGCAATAGCAGGAAAGGGCAGAGATTAAATAAGGGGAAGGGAGCAATCTCAATTGAGCAGAGCTGTTCCAAACCAATTGCAAACACAATAAAACTATGAGGTCCACCTCTGCTCTTGGAAAAACATTGGCAGAAACTTTACTAATAGTGCCATGACTTTATGTGATGTAGGTGAATAAAATACGTCTCAGAGGTGCTGAAACCTGCACCAGCACTTCCATGCAGCTACAATAATTATCCAACTCAGCAGACTTCCTTTTCATCTAAGAACTGATTAGTGCACAGGTCAGGACTGCAGATGGGATGGTACTGTGCTGTGCCAGTTTGGAGATGCTTCCGTTTTGCAATATACAGCCATGGAAATTGTAAGGAAATCAAATGACACCAGAATAGCTCTTGCTGAGTCCAGCTGCAGACGCTGTTAGTACAGCATCAGAGTGAGAAACCACCCTAGCAGTCGCATGAACTGACAGACAGGATATCTCAAGGGCTATTCCATATACACCGAATATGAAAATTTAATCAGACCTCAGTTTCTTTTGTGTTTCACAGAAGTTTTCTGTATTATGAAGCAATAACAGGCGCACACATAAAAACACTCTAAAGGAAATAACATTAGGATAAAATAAATCTTTTGTGCTAGTTTTGCTTTGTTCTTAATTGATTAGTCCCAGTGCTGAGTATACACAGATGCAGAGACACAACAAACTCATAGAACATTATACCATTGGAGTGCAGAAGAGTAACAATATCCAAACTTTAAAAAGTAGGTGCGAAAAACAAACTGCTGCATTGCTCTTAATTTCAAAAGCCAAGGCATGAGAAGGGCATGCAGGAGAGGTTTAGAGAAAAGGCCATTGTGCTTTCCAACGCATTTAGGGCACAAGGACAAAGAAAGATTTCAGCAAGGTTTATGGAGCCCTGTTTGAACCAGGGCGCAGTATCTGCAGAGCAACACCTGCCTCTGCCCCACTGCCTTGGTTCTTCACATCACCAACTTCACAGATGGCAGAAAACTCAAATGATGAATGACGGGAGTAAAATTTGTTCTGAATGTTGCACAGTTGAAGCCATGCTGTATTCCTTCTCCAAACACAACATGTATTAGATTGTGCTCTGTATCTTAGCGTACTGAAGCTAATCTATCTAAAATATTCATGTAGCAGAGAAAAATGGGAATAAAAGGAAAAAAAGTACGTGCAGTATGATGGAATGAATGTTCCTACTCGAACATTAGCTTTTGCATTTCTTAGGCTTTTTTTGGAGATTTTTAACCTTGCTGCCTTAGTGGTATTCTGACACAGCATTTTACAGTTAATATTTTATTTTTTTGAAGTTCAAAGACAAAATGAAATAAGGATGGGGAGGGGAGGGGTAGGTGGAAGAAAATGAAAGACTGGGAAGAACAGAGCTGACTCCTTTGCTTGGTGAGTAAAGCTCACAAATACCTTGAACTAACAACGCGTGCACAGAAATTCAGAGCAGGTAAACAGTTAAGAGAATAAAAACAGGCTTAGAGAGATCTTGATGTGCAGGCAGAAGTAACTGTTAGATGGCCTAAAATGAATCTCACCCTCTGCTGCATTTCTAAGTGAATAGTCATGAAACATGCAATATATCTGCATTTTGTTTTCACTTTAGCTGTGTATTTCTGCTGAACTCTGTGCTTAAAAGTGAGTGGAGTTTAATCAATATTTGTGGGTTTTTGTGTTGTTTTTTTTTTTTTGTTGTTGTTGTTTAAATATTCAAGGCATTTGTGATGTTAAAAATTCTTGAAAATCCAAACAGTAGGATTGGTTTTAAGAACACTGACATTGAGAACCTAACTCTTTTGTATCCCAGACCACAATGAATGAAGCCGGTAATGCTAAAACTGAAAAAGAGATAATGAAAACTTCTTTCTAGTAATAAAGCAGCTAGGGAAAATCATATTCTAAATTGCAAGTTTTATAAAAATGGAGAGTGTGAGAATGAAAGAGGGAAAAAAGGTGATTTGTAATGAAGAGCGTTTTACAAATGTAGCTGTGCTGGGCATACTGATCACCTGCTGGGTTACAGGGGACTTCTACACCATCACAGAGCCTGAAGGAAGCTCCCCCATCCTCTGCGTGCTCATGCATTCTCCCCCTTCTGTCTGCTATGAGTTCTGGGAAGATGCATTTTCCTGAGGACTCGAGGGCTGTGTAGGATTACACAGATCTTTCTGCACAGCATTTATGGCAAAAGTTGGTCTGCTGGCAGCTCCTTGGTTGGGCATGTGCCTTCTGTTGCAGCTGAGGTGATGAATTTAAATCTTAACAGAGAAAAAGAAAGCATCCTTGATTCATGAAAACAAGCTTCTATCACTTAGTTGCTTTAAGATGGTATCTTTTAAAATGCATATTGTAATTAAATAAGAGAATTCAGGCTTTATTGTATTTTTTCATTGTTCTGGCTAAACAGACTCTGCAGAATTAAATTAAATTGTGCAGAAACAGTCATGGCCAAGGACATTGAGATACTTATCAATACAGGGAAAAAATAGATTTCTGATTCTTCCCTGTCCCAGATTTCCCTATAAAACTGAAGCCTATGCAGTATTTCAGCACAGATTTTAATAAAGGATATAATGAAGTGTGTGCTCAGGTCACTGAAATGAACAAGATGTCTCGGATCTAAGCATTTAATTAAAAGATTTCTTCATTGAATTGAAACAATCTCATTTGTCTTATGTTTGTTACAAGTGATTGCTTGTTATGCAGTTCTGTGCACTTTTATCCCAAACCCCTACTTTAGCTTGTACGAGGAGCTAAATGGCACACATACAACATTAATCTCTGTGAAACAACTTTCTATTCTGTGTAGGTTTCCTGATAAATAAAAATCTGCCAATTTCTGAGTCTTTTAGATTCTCCATTCCTGTACTCCCTTTACTGCTCCTTCACCTTTATCTCTAATTGTACCATAGACTAAATTCACAGAATACTTTAAACACACATTTAAGTGTAAGAATGTGCTTAGATCCTATGGGCTACAACAGGAGCTAAGTACCTGCTCACACGCACTGTGGTAAACAGAGATTAGATCTATCTGCCTTGCAAGCAGGGACTGTTTCCTTCCCTGTGCTTTCTGTTTTGTGCCACCAACACTGTACTCAGTTGCTGCAGAGGAAGAGTTTGTCCTTTGATAGCTGTCACTGAAAATGTGATGCCTGGGTGTACAAAGGTTCTTTGCACATCTGTTCATCCTTGACAGGCAGAATAGCACCACGCTGTCTACTTAGTAGTGTTTTGACAGCAAACATGTTTTGCCCTGTGGGATCCATAAGGAACTTTGAGAGCTTGCAGAGTGGACAGACATCACAAATGCTTTTGGGCTGCTCAGTGCTGCGAATGAGGTGTATGGCATTCACTGGGAAAAAGGGAGAGATAACTTAATAACAACTCTGTTGTGAGTCACTTGGCCCTGCTCTATCTCATACCTGCCTTTACTGGCTCAATTGATGCAAACAGTAACTAAGGTGTTTACTGTCTTAATCTAAAAGCAGATGGAAACTGAGAACAGAACGACTGTTGCATTAAAGTGGATGGACCACCAACCACAGACTCCTACTATAAAAGACAAGCAAAGTGATTCTTCTCTGAATACACACTCCCTTCTTTTTGCATACAAAAGATGAGGGACTTTCTGCACCAGCAGCTGCACCTGAACTACTGAACAATCCTGAACCATTTAACAATTCACAGCAGAACTGTCTTCTGTGAATGTATTGGATGTATTGGACTTCTGTAAGGTCCTCTAGCAAGGACTCCATAGCATAACCCTATTGTCTTCTCCTTTTTCTGTGAATACACTAGGAACATTCTATCGGGATATCACTGCAGTACTCCTGCAGTCAATATCATAGGGTGTAATGCTTTAGTGCAATTCATTAGCACCAAGGTGATGCTCTGAAGGCTTCATAAGGAGAAGACACTTGTGTAGGATAAGCACTAATTTAGTGAACTAGATTTCATTAGTTGAGCCTGACCTTCTTGGAAGTTGGTGAGTAGAATTCTGTTTTAGAGAGAAATATTTGCAATGTTTATGTGAAAGCAGAAAACAAATGCAAGAACCAAATTATATAGAATTTGATCCTCAGAATTCAGCTGCTGCAGAAAGCTTTCTGTGATCATACAGTTCTCTGGAATACTACAGTTTCTTCAGCATCTTTTAATCTTCCACCATAATGAACATCCCAGGCACAGCTCATTAAGGCGAAACTAAAAATCCCTCTCATTTTCTCAATGTTATTATATTTTCAGCTGTCACACCATCTTTTACTGAAAATCTGCCAAATACTCCGAGCTAAGCAGAGTGAACATGTATCAGGAGACACCTCCAAGAAACACAAGTTATTTCAGAATTTGGCATATATTTCTCTGAATCAACTCTGACAAAGCAGAGAGGAAGCAGAATAATACTGCGGTGTTAAAGGATTTGCATTTGGCAGAGGTAGATAGTGTTTCATTCCATTTGTGGTGATTAAAAATCCCAAGTCACTTTCCAGAAGAGCAATACCAAGTTGTCTTGCTAGTAAGCAAATGTACTTTGGATATGCTACATAATGGTTTTATTCTTTTCCACGTGATACTGCCCTTGTTCTCAGTTTTGGCCCTCTGCATTTGACCCTTACACTTACTGTTCCTCACTGAAGCGATGATACATTACTGAAAACTGAAGGTACAACTACAGTAGTTACAGGAGAATCTTTCCATCCCTTCCCTGGCACCCTCAGTCACTGACTCTCTCAATCTGTATTTATCCCATGTGATATCAAGTTTCTGTTATCCCCATTCTTATAGATGAGCAGTGAGTAACTAAGAGACCAGCCCACTGAAGGAATGTTATGGCAAAGACAGTTACGGACACACTGCCTTCTACCAAGAAATAACTGATAAATTCCCTGGTGTGTGGCCTGAAATTTTACCTATCTCATCATGTTTTCCTTCACTGTTTTCTCTTTCAGACTTACAGCTAAAGCTGTTGCAGTTCTCTTACCAATCCTGGGAAGCTCATGGATCTTTGGGATTCTGGCGATCAATGCCCACACCCTAATATTTCAGTATATGTTTGCTGTTTTCAATTCACTACAAGTAAGTACCTGCTTGGAAACGTTGTGGCTACTGAACTGCTGTTGAGAAGCAAGAAATGGATCATTAGTAATGTTTTCACATGCTTTCATTTATTGGATTTTTCTCTATTCCTTCCTGTGTCTTTTAAGTGTTGCTGTGCTGACCACACAGTGCTGGCAATTGTTTAATCTCTGTATGAAGAGAACTTTCATCTCATTCCTTAGCGCTTCCAGTAGCAATAGCTAAATAAATTAGAGAGTGAGCTACAGAAACAGATAACTCCTCCAGCACTAGGTATCACGTGCAGGACTCTTAAAGGCCAAGGCAAGATTCTTCTTGTAAATTTATTAGAACAAAATTTCTGCGTCAGTTTGAGGCTTCGTTACCACGAATTGAAAACAAACAGAAGTTGCTGGGAACAGTGCAGCATAAGGAGAAAAAGGAATCTGTTCTGCATGCTGCAGAAAGCAGCACGTGACTTCTTAAGACACTGATCTGGAAAAAGAGTTCTGCTTGGGAAAGAATGCAAGCGTTGCCTAGCTTTAAACACAGCTTCCAGTAGAGGTATAAATCTATAGGTGAGTTCTTTCCCAAATAATGATTACAAAGGAAAAGAAAATGTTAACTTTTATAAATCCTTTGCTAACTCAGGAACAAATACTGCACTGCTATGGTCACAGAAAGATGGCAACACAGTGCTCTTGAAAGACTGATTAGAAAGAATAAATTTTCATCAAAAAGAAAACAAACTCTATAAAAGAACATTGGGGAAATTCTCTGAAGTATTTCCCTCAGCCTCTGCATTTTCAGGCACAGTCAAATTGTTCTCATGTAGCTCACCACAAGAATGCTGGCTTATTTTCTACTAGATGTTTTCCTGCAGAACCCCAAAGTTTAGGAGGCAGCGTTTGACATGAACAGATCTAGGCAAGCTGCATAGGAACCTAATGTTGCATTTTTCTCCAGCTTAACGTTGGACAAAATTTATCCCAGTTTTCAGTGTTTATGGTTACACAGTGCTGTGAGAAATACTTACAGTATGTCGTTCTTCACAGCCATTCTTTACCCTTGACCCTTTTCTCTGTTTTCAGGGGTTTTTCATGTTCCTGTTTCATTGTCTTCTGAATTCAGAGGTACGTTACAAAATGGCGTTAGCAAATTTGGTATGACTGCTGTTACTGATTTGCAGCATTTTGACCCATGTTTGGCATTTATTTTACTTAACACAGAAAGGTTTCCAAGGGATAGGTGAAGGCATCTTAAGACTAAAGAAATGACACATTCCTGGGGGCTGCAGGGGCTGAGCAGGGCACAGGCTGTGCTCTGAGGGACGGGTTCACATTGGTGGCAGCAGGACTCACTCTGGCAATCCCTGCTTGGGGGCCTCTGGCTTTGTTACATCTGCAGTTCCAGAAGGGAAAATAAGCATTAATCTCAGCAAAACATACTTTAGGAGACTGCTCATGCAGTTCTTAATGGGAAACTAAACAGTGTAGAACATATTCCAGGTATTTTTCTTGGCTAGGAGCTGAGGTTTTCACAATGGACCAAGAGGCATCTTTTCACACAAAGGCTGTCTCGAAGCAGCTGGGACAAAGCCAAGGCAGGGCTGATGTCGCAGAGACATCCCTGCTTGGCCCACAGCTCACTTCATCCTCTCTTCCACTGGCAGACAAAGAAAATCCTCAGCAATATGCATTACTGATAATGAAAATTTCTTACAAAAAGCATTTCTCACATGCCCACGGTGGGCACCTCCTAGGGAATACTTCCACAGCTTTGATTCTTCCACAGTTACTCCATCTGGACGTTATGGAATAGCTCTGCCCTGTAGCTTGTTTACTTCCCATGCATCAAAAGCGCTCCAGCTCTTCCAAGGAGATGTTTCAGTAAGCATTTATAGCTTATTAATATTGACCAACATGTTCAGTCTTAGAGCACTGACGTGATTTTTTCTACAGTCAGTTCATAGAGCCAAGACTGACTGTGAAATTCTTTATCTTTATTGGAATCAACTAAAGTTAAGCAGGCAGGCTAAAGGTAAGGAGATAAAATACTTCTCTATCCTATTTTGCCCCACACTTAAAAGCCTTCTTCCTTCTGTCAAGCATCACTTCTTATATCAAATATAATGTTTGAATCATGGGCATGAGAAATGAAATTCAGTAACGTTTCAGGGTTTGAATACTCAAAAAATTATTCACGTACAGGTAGTGTGAACAAGCACTTTTGGAGAGCAGGTCCTATTGGCTCTGCTGTATGCTATGCATCTCTAAAATACTTCAGCTGAACTGTGAGAATGCTTTCCTTCTTACCACAGAAGTAAAACTCAGACACTGTAAAGCAAAACCTGCAGATATTTCCATGTAGCTGGGTAAAAGACAAAGCTCTTCCCTGTGCTCAAGGACAAGAAATGCACAGGCAGCACAGAGAAGGGCAGGCAGGCTTATATCTTCAAGGTGTCTGGGTACCATTAGGGCTGCAAGATCACCGGGGAGAGCCTGCCCAAAGGTGCTCCTTCATACAAGGACTGCAAATACAAAGCATTTTTTCTTTCAAAGAAGATGAATAGTAATAGCTTGGACATCTAGGAGGCTGGGATAACCCAGATAGCATGAAAATGCTGCCAGAGAAATGAGACATAATGAGGTTATAAAATGTTTTGTATTTAATCTGTGAGTACTTGAAAAATAAATAACTAAAGTATAAACAAAAATGTAGGAGCAGACTGCTGTTTTTAGTACATAATGTAGTTGTTAGTGACATTAATGTGAGGGAAGGTTAATGGGGATGTATTTGTAGGCAGCACTTGAGAAAATACACACAACTTTTTCTATAACAAGTCTTCTGTCTTGTACCACTTTTTCCTCCCAAAGGTCAGAGCTGCTTTTAAGCACAAAACCAAGGTGTGGTCCCTCACCAGTAGCTCAACTCGCAACATCAATGTAAAACCCTTCAATTCCGACATTGTGAGTATTTGTCCTTTTTGTTCTATTGTACGTGCAAGGGTTCTACATCACATTCTGGTGAAAGAACAGGGCACAAAAGGGTGTGTGGATACCAAACTTAACGCACAGTGAAGAGAGGTGGAATCAGCAAGTATTATGTTGCAGCTACAGTACGTATTTTGAAAGCAAAGGACACAATTCTACTTCCTGGTAAACCATCAGGTGAACGTAAGCAGGCATTACCAACTAGAGCATGGTTCAATGAGACCATCTGCATTACTTGTAATGAACTCCACATTATGTAGTCGAGCAGCATTTTGGCAATGTATCTGTCTTATGACTATGCCTTTTTGATAGGGCACTTTTAAGTCTGAGAAACAAACTCTTAAATAAATCAATGCATGCGTATGCTTTTCCAGCTTTGCTTAGATTGCCTTGAGGCTAAATATATTTGTTTTTATAAAGAGCCAGATTTCTGAAATGATAGGTATTATTAAGTGATCACTGCCAATCACCTTAGATTCTGGCAATAACTTAAAAACCCTTTATGGAATATGCTTTCAAGATTCTGTGACAACGCTGCAATGTAAACAGATCCTTTCAAGCTTTTATTTCATCAGACAAGAGTGCTGTAGCAAAATAAATAAATCTACTTTCAATGCTGTTTTGTCTAGATGAGCGGGAACAGGCCGGGCACAACCCCCACAAAGCTGAACACCTGGGACAAAAGCACCAATTCAGCCAACCGCATTGATTTATCAGCAGTCTGACAGCAGTGCCAGCTTCTCAGTGAAAATCAAGCCATACATTCAGGACCTCTGACACAACGTCCACCAGTATTTTCTCACTGTCAATACCAGTAGAAAACTGCTTGTTTAGTCACTGACTATTAGATTGGAAATTGCCGTATTGTTTTCTTGACTAAATAGCCCTATTCTGTTTGTCTACCACATTCTACCACTTGCCCATTAGCGTTATTGGTGAAAGTAAATAGCACAAATATACACTGGATGGTTTTGTCAGCATCGATGAAAACACTAGGCGTGCAAGAAGGGTTTACTGCCATCTGAATCTTTCCAGATCCCAGAACAGAGGAAAGTCAGCATACCTTGGGAAAGATGGATTTTTAAGCTCTAAAATGAAATGTTTCCCATTGTGACATTGTAATGGGGCTCTTCTGGTCTTGCTGTGCACACTTTGTTTACACTTATCACCATACAGAATCCAGTTATTGAAGCGAAGCTTATTCAAAATACAGTGTGGTGGTTCATTTAAATGCTACAAAGACACCGAGATTTGAGGGAGAAGCAAATCCAGGCTACTCTGCTCCCAGATGTGGGTGTGGAATTAGCAAAGTTGAGCAGCACCTATGTCCCTACACACATAAACAGCACATGCAACGTGTAACACTTCTATACACGAACCTATTAGTATTTTAGCTATTGCTGTTTACAACGTATCTATAGAAGGCAGAAAAGGCTACGGTTGTCCTATAGCAGTCCACACCGCCTGTCGCTGATTCGCGTCTGCTGACACACTGCAATACAAAGTATCTGTATTGCTTTGTCTGAAGCTTTGGATGCAATCAACACCTGTCCATCAAATGCGTTTTGCAAATGCATTAATTGTACCTTTTGGAAATCAAAGCCTGGCGCTGTGACTTATGCTTCTCCTTTTACTTGTCAGATTGGGACACTGAACTGCAACCACAAAATTGTTACACAATGGTATACTGTGAAGACAGCAAATAAGTCTGTATATTGTTACCTACAGGCAACTTTTAAACAGATCTCCACTGAGTGTTCTCTGGTCTTAAACTCTGCTCAACACCTAATAACTTCTGCTTTAGCACTGCTATGAAGTGTCTTAAAGGGGAAAAAATAATGCAATTTTTCCTTTAGACTAGTGTTCTGTATGTCCACCAAAGTGACCTTTGGAGTACATGGGCTGCAATGGGCTGCAATTCCGTGCCAATGATGCATCCTTCCAGCTGGGGTACAGTTATAAGCTATATATATGGCTATAAGCCCCAGAGGTGGTCAGAGTCCCTAAACACATGTAATACTGGTCTAGGATTTACTCAGCAGCCAGAATCTGAAAAGTAGTTTTCAGTGATGATGCGACTCCAACACAGAGTGGCTGTGCCAGGTCTCCTTGTCCCGATGTCTCTGTAAGACAACGGGCTTCCAAACCACTGCAAAAGGAGGACATCTGGTCCCAGTGAATCCAGCAAGATATCTGCCCGTGATTTCAAAGAGAAAAGATACCCGCACTGTGATTTGCAGGGCAGAAATTGTTTATTGCTCAGTAAAGTTGTGGAAAAAAAAAATAAACCAATTGAACTTTAGGAACAGGAAGCATTCATCAGTTAGGACTGAATTTAGTGAAAAGTTTAATCCAAAAGCAGTGAAGTTGAAATTTTAGAAAGTATTGGCACATTTCATTTGTTATTGATCCAAAACAAGTTTTCTCCATGCTTCCTGCCTGCACTAAGAGAAAATGAACTATTTCAGTTCTCTTCAAGCATTTCCATCCCCTCTGCTTCCTCTGCATCCTTACCAAGGCTTGGTATGGTCACCAAACTGAAAGCCCACAGTCACCCATGTCTGTCTGTGCCTACAAGTTTAAAGTCTACAGAAATTGTCTTGGTTTCTGCAGACCTGTGCTGAATTTCAGAGCAGAATGTGACACACTGCATATCCACACATGTGCATAAAATTATAGGCTTCTAATCTTGTGTTGCCAGTTGGTAAATAAACCCAAGTTGTTGACAGCTAAAGAGGGTCAGTAAAAGCTAAATGTCTAAATGGCTTTCAGCATTTGTGTATAGCTTTTTCTTAGTTTTTTTACAAGTTGGACTGTCTTTCAGCTGTACAAACATACTGACTCTTCTTGGTCTGAGAATGTTATGTTCTTCTGTTCATTTGTTTGGTTTGACCCAAAAGATACAGTAGGAGGAACCCTCAGAATGTATGGAGAAGACTGTAACTGTACTGTGATAGCAGAGTTCAAAGTGTCTATTTTGTGTGCAGACAACCTATTTAAGCATATTTTTTGATACTGGAGCATGCGTGTTGTTTTTTTGTCTGTTTGTTTTAACACTGTGATCATGGGTATCGATTTAAACCCTCCTTCATAACTCCATTCATTGTAGTGTAACATAAGAAGGACATATCAAAGCTTTTTTTTTTTTTTTTTTTTTTTTTTTTTAAATCTTATTTTTGAGGACTTATTCTTTCTACGCAGTTTTCATTGAATGCATTTCCTCCTGTGCTGGCTGTATAATGGCCACCCATGTGGCTGCCCAAGATCCAACTGAAAACAACACATGAGATACAAATGGCAACACCAAATGACAGTGATACAAGGAGCTAAATCTGGGTTTCACCCAGGTATTGACCAGATTTTAGATCTGTTTATCAAAAAGAACACGCGGGTGTTCTCGGTTTTGTACCACAAAATGTGCTACAGATGTGTCAGATATTAAGGGAGCATTACTATCCCACATCTACTGAGATCCACTGAGGATAACCTGTGTCCCGTGCTTTAATGTTTGAACATGACTTGTGATGAAGCAGCATATCTTGTCTATGTCACATGAGGTTAGGAGTTACAACATGGTATTTATGTTCGTTTGGGGCTGGGGTTTCTTACGTGTTTGATAGACTGATGAAAAAAACCACAAAAAACTGTTTTTCCATAGCCATCTAAATCTGTTCTTTTTGTTTGATTCAATGTATTTGTTGTTAGTGAATGCAGCAAATGTACTGAATGCGAAATGTACATATGAATCTTTAAACAATCTCTTTCTGTCCTCAGTCTTTGAAGCCTGGAAATCTCGCAGTTTATTTATGGGCATGTATAGTGTGGCTTTTGCAATATTTTTTTTCAGGACAGCATCATTTTGTCAATGGTATGAAATCTTAATTGAATGAGATGTGAGTTTTAAAATATGTAATGTAGTAGGAATGACTTTGCCAGTAAGTAGGAAAACAATTTAGTTTTGTTGTGTTGTTTTTTTTTCTCAGATAAATAAGAAATCTTAATTTCCTAAAATAATTTTGTATTTGTTCAAATTTATTCTTTTGACATGGATTATAAACAACAGTATAAAAATCCCTACGAGTGCTAATGTTACGCTCAAACAAGCAGATCTCAACTCATCTCAAAGTCCTACGATGTGAATCACATGTTCTACCATGGCACAGCTATCGTGCAGGTGGTATTTCTGCATTACAGTTGATACCTATGTGATACACCAAGCTCAGGTGTACTCTCCCCTTTAAGGAAGATTTCTGAAGCCTCTGATGCTTATTATTTCTTCTTTTGTCTTTGTTCTGCTCATACCCCACCGCATGACCTTCAGCAAGTGGCTTTTCCTGACTGTGTGTTTATTCCATCAGGGAGATGAAAATAATTATTGTGTCCTCTTCGTTAAGTGCTTTGTAACTCACAGTTGACAAGCAGAGCACTTATTACGCCGGTCACATCAAAAGTAACACCTCCTATGTATTCCCATGGAAATGACAATATATTCTAAGAACACAATAACACTACTTGACTATCAGCAAATTCTCAGCTACTATTTTTAATACAGTCACCACCACTGGCTGTGCATTTTCACCAGCGATGCACAAGAGTTTGCACGCTGTGTTCCTGAGTATCTGTGCCGGTGGAGGTGATCCACTGCTCCTCAGTATTTCACCACCAACCACCTCACTGTGCTCACATCCACTGTTTGGTACCCATAAACGTTCAGCAAGCATCAGTGAATGTTAATGGCTGCAGTTCTTTCACGTGGAGGAATTCAATTCCACACCTTTGCTCCATACACACTCCCGTTCAGTCAGAGTGCTCCTCTGCTGCCATCTACACAGCAGCAGCATGTAATGGAATATCAGTGGGAGGGCTCTGCTGCCATCCCACCAGCATTCACCTCAGATGTTGTGGGCCAGCATAACAAAATAGAGGGCACTACTTTCAGAGCAACCCTGCTCTCAAGGTTAAAGCCAGTTCTATTGTAATAAATAGGCTGCCAGCTGCCTCCTCTGTGCTGCACAGCTGTGTAGATGTGGTGGGGTGTTGATGGAAAGTTAGATGGGAGGGGAATTTTGTGGTGTTGAATAACAAGATCAACTGTATCCAGAAAAACTATAGATTGGAATGCAGATGGGAAATGTGTTTCATCACCTTTCAATACCCCTTACAAAGAAACCTCACTTCCTTTGTAAACATCCAAGACATGTAGCAAGAAATACAGAAAGGAACATTCTCTGTGAAATAGAGATATACATTTTTTTCTTTTTACATTTATCACTTGTGTCAGAATAGTAAATTAGATAATTTTAGCACTGGTTTACATAATGTTTGCCTTTAAAAGTATTTTCATTATATCTATGTTATGCCTGGATGACTCAGTGCAGTCTGCGCCATGGTTAGTTACTGCTATAATTGCCCTTGTTCACACAATTTTCTTTCTCAATGATCCCATATGTTCCTGGAATTCAGAGACCATATTTCATCTTGTCAAGGATGATTACAACACTAAATGTAACACTGACACCAGTGTATTCACCTGGTGCTGACACATGACAGAAACTGACTCATAAGGGTGGCTTTTAGGCGCTGTTCAGTGCATCTTTAGGAAACAGTCCTTGACCAGCTGCTGATTTGCTGAGGACAATTGCCTTAGAGCAGTTTCAGGCTGGCTAGCTTACTTATGACACAGGCAACAAAGCTTTCTCTTTCCACTTTGTTTCCAGTGGTTAAAGCAGGTTGTGTTGGCCACCGCATGTGTCTCTCCAAGCAGCCTCCAAGTTAAGCATTTCCTTATTTATTACAAACAAGGAATAATGGACAAAACAACTCAAGCAAAAACTAAAAGAAAAACAACCCGACTTTGAGGCACAAGAATCAATTCTGTCAATCTCTGTCATTACACAAGGTTTGTTTTAGCCAGTGCTCCCTAATACTCTGGATGAAAATACACAACAAAACCAAAGCAAATTTTTACCCTATCAGTGTCTCAAGGTAAGCAGCAAAGAAGAAATATTACTTGGAAAATTTCGGCCTTATATTGTAGCATTTAGGCAAATTAAGTCACATTATGTTGATGACAGAATGCTATCTGATGGCTTTTTTTGTTTCAGATCCTGCACAGGTCAACTGAATGTGAGCACATCTTCTCACTCAGCCTCTCATGCAGCACTGATTTGTCATATTTTACTGCCCTCAAAAGGAAAAAAAATAGTGG